TCTATTCTATACAGGAAAGTCGAAATAAACTTTTCCCCCAGAAATGCACAATGAGAAACAGATTTACCATTTAAAGTACATTGGATCTTTGGGGTATACTTTATATTTCTTGAGCATTTGGTTATCATTGTTCTCCTACCCGCCCCACCCCTTACACACAACATATCCCCCCCCCCACCAATAAATGAAAGAACTCCAAAGAGGAAAACAAAAAACACAATCCAGCCTAATGCAAACTCTCCAGCCCTTGCCAACCCCACCGTCCCCATGCTCAAGGAGCCAGTAGCAAGCTCCAGTGCGATTTAAAAATAACAAGTTTGGAAAACTTACAAAGAGGGAAATGTTTGCCCAGTTGAGGCAGTTGTTTGTTGTGCTGCAAAACGGGCACTTCCAGAAACCTGTTGAAAAACTTATTTCAGTACAACAGTTTACAGCGAAGTTTGGCCGCTTTCTTTCTTCAGAGAACAAGTTAAAGTCTCTATTTGTAGCAATAGTTCTCAAAACATTTGCAGTTTCTTTTTCTCAACTCCCTTTCGATCGATCTTGCTCTTTCCCTCTCTCTCCCCTTCCCTTCCTTTTTCACCCAGTGACAGGAGGGAAAGAGGTTCGCGGTTTGTAGAGAAATAAAGCACTTCTTAGAGAGGACGGCGACGTGACTTTGAACTTGGATCAGCTCCTCTGTTTCCTGCAGAGAGAGTAGAACTGGAGCCCTGAAAGAATAGCAAAGAGAGTCCAGCCTGCGGGGTCTCTGACTGGAATTAACGAATTCCCTACAAACTACCCCAATGCAGTCTCCTGAAGCCACAGAGCCAGAATTCAGCAGGGTGATCTTAGTATGAGAATGGTAATGAGAAAAGGAAAAATCAAAGAAAAATTAGAGAATAGGAGAAAGGGCAAGGGAAACAGAGAGAAATCAAGAGAGAAAAGAAAAGAGATAGCTGGAAGGTAAGAAAGAGGGAAGGCAGAGAAGAGAAGAGAAGGGGTCATAATGGATTTGGCTTTCCAGTATATAAATAATTCTTACAATCAAATATAAGCAATTTTTACAATCAAAATAGAAGAAAATATTTACTTTCGTGAATTATTTGTTTCTAAGACATTTTCAGTTATTCTCTCTTCATCCTAAAGACCAACATGAATGAATAAATAATAGTGTGTATAGTTGTGTATCTGAATATTTTGGACCAAGGTGAAGTAATAGGGTAGAATCTCTCTCTCTCTCTCTCTCTCTCTCTCTCTCTCTCTCTCTCTCTCT